AAAATGGGTGCCCTGATCACTAACAATAGCTCTGGGTACTCCAAACTTGCAAAATATGCTAGATCTAACAAAATCCACAACAACCCGAGCATCATTAGTTCTGGTGGCTTTGGCTTCCACCCATTTTGAAACATAATCAACAGCTAGGAGAATATATGAAAAACCAAAAGAGACAGGAAAAAGACCCATGAAATCTATACCCCAGACATCAAAGACCTCACAGAATAGCATGGGTTGCTGAGGCATCTACTGTCTCCAAGAAAGGGCTCATCCTGCTCTCTGACACTATTCACAAGTGCTGCAAATATTCCACGCATCCTTGAAGATGGTGGGCCAGTAGAAACCACAGTCAAGCACCTTGCGAGCTATCCTCTAAATGCCAAGAAGACCACCAGATGCAGAAGAATGACAGAACTGTAGGACCGAGTCAATCTCATGGTCCGGCAAGCATCTCCTAATTACTTGATCACTGCAAAACTTCCACAAATAGGGGTCATCCCAAACATAATGTTTAGCATCACTCTTAAGTTTATCAATCTGAGCTTTAGATGCTAAAGGAGGAAAAACAGAAGCAACTACATAATTGAAAAAATGTTTGCAAACCACGGGGTGGGGGAAGGAACAAAAATAGTTAACAAGTGTTCATCAGGAAAAATCATCCTGAATGGGCAAAGTGTCCTCACCCTCAGCTCTCTCAATCCTGCTGAGATGGTCTGCCACCAAGTTTTGTGTTCCATTCCTGTCACGGATGTCCAAGTCAAACTCTTGAAGCTAGAGCATCCATTTGATCAGCCTAGGCTTTGAGTCAGCCTTCTTCAACAGGTACTTTAGAGCTGCATGATCTGTAAAAACAATAACACGAGAACCAAGCAAATATAATCGAAATTTATCAAGTGCAAAAATAATAGCTAAATATATATATATATATATATATATATATATATATTCCAAACGTAAAGAAAAAAGAAAAAAAGAAAAAAAAAGTCTACATCCACCTATAAATATAAGAAATAATTGCATTCACCTCTCTAAAATTTGTCTAAATGACATAAATTGAAAAATAAACTTTCCCTAATAATTCTATTTAACTTCAGCTATACTACAAATAAAACTAAAAATTGAATAGGTAAAAAATAATAAATCTTTGATATGCATAACTTTTCTCTCTTATTTATTAACAAACTATCTCTTTATTACTATATTTTCTTTTCAGTGCCTCTATTTTTTTGATTAACCATTTTATTTATTCACTGATTGTCTATTTAAGTAACTCTTTTTAGGTTACCTTCTTTTTAATTTATACAAACAAAAAAAAGTTTTTTTTAAAATTTAATTGTAGATGATCAATATCATTATAGAGTTTTTAGATGGAATAATTAATCACTTGTACCTTTGTATAATCTATCAAAAAAATGACACCCCTTTTATATTTGTATTATATTATAATAGAATGAAATTAAGAGCAGAAAATATGACACTAATGACTCTACACTTTTTCAACCTTAAGAAAAGTTCTAATAGTAAAAAAATGAGTTTTAACATGCAAATAAATTAACATTATGAAAATAGGTGATATGTGAAAGATAAATTTTAAAATAAGAAGAATGAATATCAACTAATAAAATAGAAGAAAGGTCGATACTATTTGGACAAATCTCAAGAGCAGTTATAACAATTTCTCCTAAATGCAATAATCAATTAAGGAAAAATACTAAATAAATAATTTTTAATCTTTTTAAAAAATTATTTTACAAAAATATTTTATACGTTGATTTGAATTAATAAAATAAAATCTCAAATAACTTTCAAATTTTATAAAAAACTTATAAATTTGATCTATTTATAAAAAAAATCTTAATTTAATTGAAATAAGTGAATATCTTCTTAAATAAATAGTATTTCACCTAATTGTATTATTATATTAAAATATATTTGATAAAAAATTGTTTTAACAAACGTAGCTTAAACTAATTATTATTATATTGCTTTTTTTTTATATTTTATATACAAGTATTATGATATAGTTCATAAAAAAACAACTTTTAAAATGTATGGGATTTTTTCATATGTTTAAAAAATAGTATTTATATAATAAAAGTACAAAGAAATTCTTAGAACAAGAAATTTTTTTTTTTTGAATTTATAAACACAGATACGTCATTATTGTTATGAATCCTTTTAACTAAAAATAAATTGAAACAACAATTTGCGTCGTCTGTGCGGAGCCCATGCGGTGGAGAAGCGGTGACAAAGCCAAAGATGAGTAGCTCGAATATGATGGATAGAGATTAAATACTCCGTTAAAGAGGAGATTAATACGATCCAACATCAACGTTGTAATGAATTTGTGTATTCATCTTGGGTGCTTGTTTTCAGTATCCAATTCAAACCGTAGAGTGACGAATTTTTTAGTGAGGAAAAGAATGGTCTCGTCGGAATCAAAAGAAGAGTGTTTAGGAGGCAATTTGGTAAGTTCATAAAAGTATTAAATTAATTCATATGATGAAAATACTATATCAGACGATTAATTAAGAAATTTAAAACATTCTTCATTCATGACGCATTACAAAGATCATTTAAAGAAAGAAACTAACTGTTCATAATCACAGCCCTACATTTTGTAATGAAAGACACCAATAACAAAGCCTAAAAATAGACGAATTTGTTGGATATCCTACCGATCCCTTGGGTCTTGAGTTGAGGTACTTGGGCTAGTGGCAGTGTGGGTATCACCATGAGAGAGAGAGAAATCTGTTTCCCAAGGTTACCGTTCTACTTCTCTTGCAACACTGTGCTGTGATTATGTATACCCTCTAGGGAACGACAACTAAAGAAAAGAAAAAATGGAGGGTTCTCTCGTATTCTTGAAGTTTGCAAATGATTTTTTTTACAAGAGTGCATGTGATGACTGATGAAACCAAGCTACATAGTACATATATGTAACATCATCCATAAAAGAGTCGATCATGGTATTTTAGGTGTGTGAAAAAAAAAAAAATCAGACCGACAACCTTAACCACCAGCTGGGTCTTGATCAGTTATTATTGTTGGAGACCAGCTACTTGTCCATTCCACATCTTCTGAGTTCTGAGTAATCTACATTCATTGAGATAATAAAATAAATTACAAGAAGCAGTGAGATGATACACTAGACATACACAAGGGGTTAAAAAAATGAACCTTGAGGTAAAATAATGACCGTTTTCACTACCAAAGACGTTTGTTATGTCCAGCTGCAACCTACCCAAACAAACAATTGAGAGAAGTGAGAATTTGCTCTTTTAACTAGAGCTATCAAAGGACATAAATAGCTAGAATTAGAAACACCAAAAATCAAATTATCTCCATTTTGTAATATACTGTCCCAACAAGGATGACTCTATCATATGTGCCTCCTCTATAATTGACTTGAAGTCGTGAACCTATTGAACAAAATTGAAAGGGAAATAATTCATGGTTCCCTTAATGACTTGAATCAAAGCAACCAAGTTGATTGGCCAACACCTTGACAGCATCTTCATCTTTATCTTCAGCAGTTGGCATGTCTAATCCACGCTCAAATTTTTCACTACACAATAGTTCTTCCCAAAACTCTTCATCAATTACTCTATCCAGCCTCTCTTGTGATTCTAGAACCTCAGGTCCTACTTCCCTGTCTATCATCCCTTTTCCAAAACCCTGCATTTCCCTGGCTAACATTTCCAACTCTGAAATTCCAAATTCACTATCCCCAAATTCCAAGGCCTCAACTTTAACACTGCTTGATTCTCCAACACCTCTAGCTCCTTGCTCAATTGCCCTTCTCTTTTTGGTCAAGGCTTCTTGAAGCTCCATTTTCTTCTCTTTCTGTTGGAGTTGGTGTATGAAGGCAGGATTTTTAATAGCTCTAGCTAAGAATGCCATCATCTGTTGCTGCCTGATTTCTGTCCCTTGTAACCTTCGCTCCATCTCCTCAATGCACAGTTTGGCTTTCTGTTGCTGCTGTCTTAGATTCACAACCTCCATCATCAACACCAGCTTGTCATGCCTCAAACGATCAATCTCTTTGTCCAATTCAAAGCATCCAACTTCAACATTGTGGTGACCTCGTGTTAGTTGTGCAGGTGCCTTCCTTCTCTTTATGCCCTTCAACAGGTGCCTGTGCCCTCTCATGAACCCGTCAGTTGCAAACTCCCATCTATCTGGATCAATCTTTCGAAAACCCTGTAAAAGTGAACACCACAATCAATACTTCAAACCATCAAAATTGAAACTTTAATAACAAAAGACTTCAATTATTCAATAAAACATTGCTGAGTAGTTATTTGTCTATGAAACTTTGACTGGGAAGAGAGTTAGAGAAACAAAATTTACAAAAAGCAAGCAAGCAAAATAGAATTTGTTTTGTCTTCACAAGCAAATTCTTAAAATTTGAAGGAAAATTGATTAAAGAGATATTGCCATAAGATAATACATACATAAGTGTTTAGTTGCCTGACAAAGCTTGAGAAATTGTTGTGCTTGAAGTATCTAGGAAGGAGACATGTAGAGAAGGTGTGTGGATCCCAAACCACAAAGCTTGTGCCGTCTCTGCTCCAAGAAACTACGTGGTTGGTTGCTGGATCATCCACAACATCAAAAGTTTTGGTGAGAAATGGTGGGGGTCCCGTGTCATGAAGTCCCTCCATTGGCTTTGGTGGATATTCACTAGCCAATTGATACGATGATTCCAAGTACTCTTCTTTCACTGGATTCGTGTGATTCATCCTCAATGATATACGTAGGTTTTGTTATTTATGCTTCTAATGTAGATTGGTAACTTTATTCCAGCGTGATTAATTTATTTAGTGAAGAAATTTGGACATAACCATAGAGTATTGTAAAAGGGAAGCATGGACTACAACGAGGAGGGAAGAAGGGAGAAAAAGTATGATGATTATAAAAAAAGGGGGAAATTTACAACACAATTGAAACGAATTTGAAGAGAAAGATTGTGAATCAATGAACATGAACAAAAAGTGAATAATTAAATTTTATCTTTACGAGCCTCAATTTATCTTGTGGAGGAAGAAACTAAGAAAGTCGTTTACGTCGTAGCATGTAACTGAACTATAAAGTGAATGGTCCAAGGGGATTATATAGAAGAAAAATTTGGAGTATACCGGAGAGAAATAATGGATTAGAATGTTCTAGATATTCGTATTTATTTTATTTAACCCTTTCCTCATAAGCAATTGGATGAGATAGCAACTAGCAAGAGACAACAGTGGGTGGGTCAAACTCATTGGTTCGGAAAATTCTGGAAGTTACATATGCAATCATGGAGGGGTTGGAACAGTGAGGTTCGCAACTTGCCTCAAAGGATTGGATTTGGTGGTGGTCACATTCATTTTTTAATATTATTTCATCGGGGCCAAATTGATTCAAAACCACAAATAAATATTAAAATAACTTTTTTTATGCTTATATTAAAATATACTATTAATTTATATTTTTAACCAATAAAATTATTTAAATATTATTTTAAATATTGAATATTCATCGGTTTAGTTTCAAAATATATCTTGGTAAAATTTAAGGACTAATTTGAAGAGCTTTTAATATTTAAAGTCGTTATTTTTAATATTTCTACGACTATTTAAGTTAAAAAATATATTTATTTTAAGAATCATTCAGCTAAAAAGAAAAAAGAAAAAAAAATAACATTCCAAAGAACAAACTGGTGGTTTCGTCTAATTATTAATAGAAGTGAAGAAAGAAAGACCATACTTCTCTTTCTAGTTATGCCTGGTCGGTAGGAGGTAAATTAATTCATGATCTCATGGGACGAAAAACATTACTTAGGATTTCCGTACAATTACATACAAATACATGATGAGATCAAGATAGATATTTTATCGTTAAATTCAACTTTGAATTGATATTTTTTTATGCATAATAATAACAATATATGTATAACAACTCAAAGATGAGTGTTCTCCGACAAATTTATTGTAAATTGCATCATTTTCTCCTTAACCATTATCCATTAGTTAAACAGATATTGATTGACCTTGCTCCAATTTCTTATTTTTGATCAGTTCTGCTACTAGAACAGAATATGGTGGCTGTGGTCACTCTGGTCAAGTCCTAATAGTGACGCGTAACAATAATAAACAATTGGATATGGTGGCTGTATTATCAGGTAAAAGTTCTATAACATTCTCGAATGTACTAGATTTTCTACCTAGCATTTGTATGATATGACATCTTATTTTTAATTTGGTACATTCTCCTTTTCTTGCTAACGATAATTTCCTGTTTTCTTCGCCTTTGCCACGGCAATGTAGTTTTCGTGTAAACGTGACAAAACATTTGCATGTCAAGTTGCACCTGTCTTAATTGCCATTGAAGCTCGTTTTGTTTCTAGTTCATGAAGTAGAATATTTAGTGGATGAGAAGAGAGGCTAATCAAATGATACATGTGACACGCGAATGTACGTATAAATAAGAGTTAATCACTTATATATTATTAATGTAAAGTTTTTTTACACTAAAAACTAATTAGATCTTTTAATTGTGTCATGTCACTGTTAAAAATAAACGTGTTTATAGTGACATAACATAATTAAAAGATCTAATTAGTTGTCAATAAAAAAAGTATAAGTGATTAACTTTATAAATAATATTATAAATAAAGTGTCCCGGACGTGGCTTTCCAACAGGAATAGCTAGTAATTATTCTCGTGTTTTTATATGATTATATAATTTGGTGAATAAGCATGGTAACTGAGATAATATATAATTTTTTCCCATACATATCATCTAAATTTGCATCCTAATCAGTACGTTTAACGGATTTAACCATCTAATAAAAATGTCAGGCTTTGTTAATGGTAATTAACACACTTTTGAATTTTAGTTTTTCCTTGGAAACTAATTTAATTGGCCGTGTAGCTTAATTACACACTGCTCTATTACTATGCTACTTCCATTTCTAACTATAAACCCCTTTTAAAATTATACCCTTTATGAAAAATAGTTAATTTAATTAATAAAAATATTAATTTTTTCAATAGTTTAGTTTTTTTTTAAATTAACATTTTATCCTTTCACTTAATTATAATTTATCTAATTAATTAATGTTTGTGTACCTGCCTGAGGGTACACTCGTAGTCTTCTAGGTGGTAAAGGGCTGAACGGATACTTCTGGTGGACACTTCAGGGGGGGGAAGGTACCTGCAAAAGGCACTCCGACGCTCAAGTCAGGACAAACACGATTTTTTAGGGTAAAGAATGAACAGTGACGTACCTCTTTACATGCGACCTATTTATAATATCTGACATGGGCCTGACCATGGTGGGCCTTTTCTGACACTTACCAAATTAGGTAATACAATGCTAATCAGCTAATCATGTCTTAATCATGCGCTTATCCTTGTTAACTATGATTTGTACTATAATCCGTTTAACCTTTCGGCACATCGCCGAGCCGACAGGCTAAGGCTTGGGAAGTTGCACGTCCTCGGCTGTAGACCGGGCCGGCAAATGCCTAATCGGTTCTTACTTGGTCGGCGCTTGGCCGAGCCGATACGTAGTGTACGAAGATGCATCATGGTGCCGTTCATATCGGCCTTAAGCCGAGCCGATACTGCTAGCAGACTCTTCTTGGCCTTCGGCTCTAGGCCGAGCCGATGCTAGCGTCAGGGTTTAAGGTATGGTTCAGTTCGCATGAGTGTCTGACGGAACGACACGTGTTGGTTCACGTGACCGATAAGGTCCCTCCGGTACACAAGCCCCCCAGCCTTTAGGAGTGAAATGACGCAAAGGGTAAATGTGGTATTTTGATTATTACCTTTTGCGAGGGAAGGCCAAGGGTTACAACGGCTGATGGGAGGCGAAGGGTTGTAACCGTTGGGCATTAACGCGTGTGAGGAGTTATGACTGCTAGTGGAAGGCGAAGAGTTGTAACCGTTGTCGGAATACCAAGGGTTACAACCGTTGGGTATTAATGACGCATGCGAAGGGTTACGCATCGTGAACCGTTGGATTTAAGTGATCCAACGGTGTGTAGAGGGACGTGACTCTTGATATACTTGCAAGGAATGCCTATAAATAGGCGTGTGGGGAGGGTCCCCAAAGATACGCGTTTATCGCTTGCTCCGAGCCGAGATCAGCTGAGTTGCGGTGTTCGAGTATTCTTCAACAAAGATTGGTCAAGTTCAACAATCAGGTACACAATGGCAGATTTAAATGTTGTTCATATTGACTCCTCCGGGGACGTAGGTGATTCTGGGTTGAGAGCAACGCCGGACCGAGACGTCGCATCGGCCACGGCTTCCAATGGGGAAAACCACGTAGAGTCCATTTCCAGATCCGAATGGTCACAAAGTGGGAGTGATTCTTCATCGGCGATAGCCTCTGATGATCATCCAAGCAGGGGTGGTGGATCGTCCAGGAATTTTGCTCCCATATCGACCCCTGGGTACTCGTGGGTGCACGGGGAGGTTGACAGCGTGTATTCCCGGTATACCGATAAGAAGTCTCTTATTCATTTCGTATCGGCCGTGAAATTCTTGACCTTTCCAGAGGAAGAGGAACCCTCTGCCATCTTTTTTCAGCCGTGCCGAGGCGATGGAGTGCCGAATCCAGATTTCGTGTACTTGAACCAAGGGTCGTGCAAGTACCAATTCTTTTATGTATACGATTACATGTTCCGAGATTTGAAGATAACTCTCCCGTTTGATGAGTATTTTATGGGTAGCGAGTAAACTTCATCCAAACACTTGGGCAGCGATGCAAGGGTTTAGACAATTGTGTTTGGCTCTCGGCCTCCAGCCCACTCCGCACCTATTTCTTCACTTCTATTCGTCTCGGCTGACGAAGAAGATTAAGTGGTTGTCACTGGTTCGGCACAGTGATTGCCTGTTGCAGCCCTTCACCACTTCCTATAAGAACTTCAAAGTGGGATCTATGAAGGTGATGATTCGGCCGGAGACGGGAAATAAATACTTCTTCGATGCCGAAGGGAGATCACGATTTCTATTGTACTGGACTCGGAAGCCGAGGAAGTACGACACGGTGTCCAAATCTCGAATGTCCCCGGAGGAGAGATCAAGTTTGAATTTTTTAGAGAAGCTGCCTCGGCCTTTACCATGTCGTCCTCTGGTCCGATTGTCTGAATCGGTCGACGTAGTCGAAGAACTGATTGGTATAGTACCTTTCTTACTTGTTTAAATTCTTGCGTTATCATTGATTTTGACTAATGATGTGCAGGTATCATGGCGGATCATGGAGAGGACGATCTAGACATCCGCACATTGATCCGGAACCAAGTGACGACGACCACTGGGAACAAGACCCCGATCGACGTGCGCGGGAATCAACTAACTGCCCAAGCTGGTGGGAGGGACCAACGGTCAAACCGAGGAAGCCCACTCGGCCCTAGCCTGAAAAAAGAAGGCCTGATCCGAGGGCCGAGGAAGAGAGCCGTCGGGCTAAGCAGCGCCGTGTGGCTGGTCCAACTGTTCCAGAAGGCTTGGCCGGACCAAGTTTTTTGGCTGGTAATGTTAACGCTCAGGATTTTCTAAGCCAAGACTTGACCTTCGAATCGGGTCAAGGGATGCTGAGCCGCATGACCTCGACTCAGAAGTGGAGCTATTTCTGTGAGTTCCAAGTGCGTGTTGTGGCCTTGGCTCAAAGTATCGTGATTGAGCCAAACGGCGAGGCCGATGGACTGCGTCGGCAACTTGCAGAGCAGGAGAAGTCTCTTCAAGAGACGCTGTCGGCGCTGACTGACGCCCAAACGACCAATAGCAAGTTCCAGGCCGAGCTGGATCGCCGAGGGCGAACTGCTGATGACCTGGCTTTGAAGGTCCAACGTCTTAAGGTGGCCTTGAAGAATGTGACAGAGAAGTCTGCTATCTTGGCCAAAGAGTTGGACTCTGAGAAGCTGGCTTTTGGTGCCTATAGGGAGAAGACACGTAACAAGGTCCTCTCTCAGCATCAAGCTGGGTTTGCCCAGGCGGCTCGGCAGGCCTGCTACTTTGGCGACTTCCCCCCTAACTTTCACCTGGATATGACAAAAGACTTTTTCCAGGGTAAGTTAGTGGATCTGGCCTCCATTCCTTCGGACCAGCAAGCCGATGAGGAAGCTCCGGCACGACCAACTGGGCCGATTGAAGAGGAAACGGCGTACGAAGAAACTGCGCCTGAAGATGGTCCGGTTCAGGGGGAACTGGAGGTGGGGTCTTGAGCGTTTTATTGTTCTTTGTATGGATGGGCCAATAGTGCTCTTTTTGAATGTACTGTTCTAGGCTGATAGTGCCTTGTTGAATGAATTGTTTTTCCTTGCTATTATCTATTGGTGTAATATTTACTTTTTTCGTGATGAAAACTCATAAAAATTGATGGAAGTCGTATCCTTGGCCGAGAGAGATCTCGGGAGGGAAGGCTTGTAAAATAATTAAAGCCACGTCCTTGGCCGAGAGAGATCTCGGGAGGGAAGGCTTGTAAAATAATTAAAGCCACGTCCTTGGCCGAGAGAGATCTCGGGAGGGAAGGCTTGTAAAATAATTAAAGCCACGTCCTTGGCCGAGAGAGAGCTCGGGAGGGTAGACTTGTAAAATAATTAAAGCCACGTCTTTGGCCGAGAGAGATTTCAGGAGGGAAGACTTGTAAAATAATTAAAGCCACGTCCTTGGCCGAGAGAGATCTCGGGAGGGAAGACTTGTAAAATAATTAAAGCCACGTCCTTGGCCGAGAGACATCTCGGGAGGGAAGACTTGTAAAATAATTAAAGCCACGTCCTTGGACGAGAGAGATCTCGGGAGGGAAGACTTGTAAAATAATTAAAGTCACGTCCTTGGCCGAGAGACATCTCGGGAGGGAAGACTTGTAATATGAAATAAAATCGCAACAATGTACAACAAGTCATAGATAGTTGAACTGTCTTGTTATTGATTGAGTGGATGCCTCGTTAAAAACCTTGCCGGCCAAAACCTCTTTTCACAATTTTTTAAGAGGAAAAAAAACCGGTTCAAGGAAAAGAGTGCATCATTATACATTTTCAAATGTACATGAGTTAAATTCTAACTGTAATAGGTCTTCAAATGAGTAGAATTCCATGTCCGAGGGATGACCTTGCCGGACAGTTCTTCTAACTTGTAAGCTCCATTGTGGAGGGCATGCCGTATCCGGAACGGGCCTTCCCAATTGGCTGCGAGCTTTCCCTCAGAAGGGTTGCGCCTTGCCGAATCGGTTGCTCTCCATACGAGATCGCCTTCATGAAATGTCCTCGGCTTTAGGTTGGAATTAAAGCGTCGGGTCATGCGTTGTTTGCATGCTTCGGCCACTACCTGTGTCCTCTCTCATACTTCATTGAGAACATCGAGTTCGGCTCGGAGTGAGCTGTCATTAGACTCCTCATGGAAATGTTGTCGCCTGAAGGACGGTTCTCCCACTTCAACCGGGATCATCGCGTCCGCGCCGTACGTTAGGCGAAAAGGTGTCTCTTTGGTAGTTGATTGTGGCGTGCATCGGTATGCCCAAAGGACTTCCGGTAACTCTTCGGCCCATGCTCCTTTGGCCGAGCCGAGTCTCTTCTTGAGCTCAGTGAGTATAAGCTTGTTGGCTGCTTCGGCTTGCCCGTTTGACTGCGGATGCTCGACTAATGTGAACCGATGCCGAATGCCAAGGTTTTCGAGGAAAATGTTGATTTTTTTGTCGGTGAATTGAAGACCATTGTCCGAAACAATGGCGTACGGGATGCCGAAGCGGGTAACCAGATTTTTCCAAACAAACTTCTGAACATTGGCAGCGGAGATGCAGGCGAGCAGTTCGGCTTCTATCCACTTTGTACAGTAATCCACCGCAACGAGAAGGATTTTAACTTGCCCCTTTGCTACAGGGAACGGTCCGAGCACGTCTATACCCCATAAAGCAAACGGCCATGGGGAACTGATACTGTGCAACTCTGCGGCCGAAGCATGGATGAGATTTCCATGCTTTTGACATTGCACACACTTTTTAACGAACTCGGTGCAATCTCCTTTCAGAGTTGGCCAACAGTAGCCGGCACGCAAGACTTTGACTGCCAGAGTTCGTCCCCCTGAATGGGAGCCGCAGATACCTTCGTGTATTTCCCTTATTACGTAGTCAGCTTGGTGATTATCGATGCATTTGAGCAGCGGGATGGAGAATCCCCGCCTGTAGAGCTCATCGGCCACCATGGAGTACCGAGCTGCTTGTGTTCGTAACTTTTTTGCTTCCATCGGGTCGGTTGGCAACTCCCCTCGGACAATAAAGTTCCGGATGGCTGTCATCCAGGTTGGCGCCTCAGTACCGGTTTCCATACACTCAACCGTCACACTTGGGGAAGGAATCTCAAGGTGAATGGTTGTTCGCAACTGTCCTGGCTTTCGGCTGCTGGCGAGCCGAGCTAGCTGATCGGCTCGTTCATTGTTGTTACGCAAGACGTGTTGTATCTGTACCTCGGTGAAATCGTCCTTGAGCTTTTGGAAGAGGTGATAGTATTGCAACAAATTGGCGTCCTTGACCTGAAAGTTATCGTTGACCTGTTCGGCCACAATTTTAGAGTCAGTCCAGCATATGATTTTCTTGACGCCCATCTCGGTTGCTAGTCTCATTCTGGCTATCAAGGCTTCGTACTCTGCCTGATTGTTGGAAGCATGGAAGTCGAACCTAAGGCATTGTTCGACGGTGATATCTGAGGGGCTAGCAAGAATTACGCCGGCGCCACTGCCTTGGGCATTAGAGGATCCATCAACATGCATGGTTCACGGCTCGTCTTCAAAACATCCCGGAGGAGTAAGCTCGTTAACGAAATCAGCCAAATGTTGCGACTTGATCGACCCTCTTGGCTCGAAAGATATGTCAAATTCTGAGAGCTCGACCGACCATGCCATCATCCAGCCGATAATTTTTGGTTTCCGGAGGACCTTTGGAACCGGGCAATCGGTTCGGACTACTATCCTGTGGCTTTGGAAGTACTATCTTAATCGTCGGGCGGCATAGATGAGCCCTAAAACCACCTTTTCTAATAGCTGATAGCGTCGCTCGGCGTCTTGCAGCGTCCAGCTGATAAAATACACAGGTTGCTGATGGCCTTGGTTTTCTTGTACCAGGACGGCACTCACAAAATAGCTTGAAACGGCCAGGTAAACAACCACATCGAGGTCACCGATCGGCTTGGAGAGCACAGGAGGCGCGCTAAGACGTTTCTTGAACTGTTGGAACGATTCTTCACATTCCCGGGTCCAGCTGAACCGCTCGGTTTTCTTGAGTAGAAGTAGGATAGGCTGGGCTACTTCGACCAGACGAGGGAGGAACCGGGAGAGCGAGGTGAGCCGGCCCGCTAACTTTTGGACTTCCTTCCGGGCTTTTCATATCCAAAATGGCTTGGCATTTGTCGGGGTTTGCTTCAATGCCTCGGTTGGACAACATGAACCCTAAAATTTTTCCACCTGAGACCCCGAACATGCATTTTTCAGGATTAAGCCTCATCTGATGTTGCCGAAGCGCTTGGAAGACATCAGCCAGGTCACGCACATGCGTGGAGATGTCGCTTGATTTTACGACCATGTCGTCAACATACACTTCCATACTTCGACCAATCTGGTCACGAAAAATTTTATTCATCAAACGCTGATACGTGGCTCCAGCGTTTTTCAACCCGAACGGCATGACCCGATAGCAGTAGTTGGCCGTTTCAGTAATGAATGCCGTCTTTTCTTCATCTTGGGGGTGCATACGGATCTGGTTGTACCCCGAGTATGCATCCAAGAAAGACAAGAATTTGTGACCCGATGCTCCATCAACGAGTCGGTCAATATTCGGCAATGGGTAGGCGTCTTTCGGGCAGGCTTTGTTCAAGTTTGTGTAATCGGTACACATACGCCACTTTTCATTCGGTTTCCGAACCATGACAACGTTGGCCATCCATGTCGTATAGTGCACTTCTCGGATGAACCAAGCATCTAGAAGTTTGGATACTTCAACTTCGATCGCTGCTTTCCTCTCTTCTCCGGCCTTCCGACGCCGCTGTGCAATCGGCTTTGCCTATTTACTGATTGAAAGCTTATGGCAAAGGAAATCCAGGTCAATGCCTGGCATGTCGGAGGGATGCCATGCAAACAAGTCTTTGTTGTCAAGAATTACTTGTCCGATAGCACTCTTTTCTTGTTCAGAGAGGACGGTCCCTAGGTAAGTAAGCTGGGAGTCCGAGGCTCCAACTCGAATCGATTACTTCTCTTCAATAGGTTCTACCCTCTCTTCTTGATCGATTCGAGGGTCGAGGTCTATGGCCGATTGCTGTGACACCGAGTGAATGTCTCTCGGCTCCTTAGGCGCTTCGTTCTTCACTCTTGGTAATCGCAAGCTGGCAAAGTAGCATTCTCGCGCAGTCTTCTGATCAGCATGGACCGTGATGACTCGTCCTGACTCGGCTGGGAACTTCATGGCTAAATGAGGGGTGGATACAACCGCCCCAAGCCGATTCAGGGATGGCCGGCCGAGCAGAATATTATAAGATGTGCTGGCATGAACTACCACATATTTGACCGAGATGTCACGATATTCGGCTCCTTCAAACCCAAACCGGGTTGACAACTTGATATATCCCTTTGTCTTGACTCGTTCGCCTGAGAACCCAACCAGAGGTTCATCATAAGGAACTAGCTCGGATTCTGGAATACCCAACTGCTTGAACGTGTTCCAATACAGGATGTCGGCTAAACTTCCCTGCTCAACCAATGTTTTACGTACAATACAGTTGTGAATTTCAACACTGATTACCATCGGATCATCTTGGTCCGGGTCGATGCCTTTGAAGTCGGCCTCGGTGAAAGTGATGGTGGGAAGGCGGCGACGAGCTGTTTCCACTGCATGCACGTGCCGAACGGCTCGCAGGTGTCTTCGTTGGGCCGATGAGGATGAGCCCCCGCCAGCGAATCCACCGGCTATGGTGTTGATGACTCGCCGAGGTTGCGCTGAAGGCTCTTCCTCTCGCCTATCTCTCGACCAACTACGTTCATTGTATGAGTGTGTTCTCGTTCTCCTCTGCTCGGGCTGATCATGCCGTCGAGACCGGTCGGCGTGTCGGGATGAGGTCGGACGGTCTATGAAGCCGTGCAGTTTCCCCTGCTTGATTAAGTCTTCAATTTTGTCTTTCAAAGCCACGCATTCCTCTGTGGAATGCCCTCGATTACGATGGTACCTGCAAGACTTTGTTCTATCAGCCCTGGGAGGGGTCGAAGCTCGTTTTGGGACTGCTAGCACCTCTAAGGCAAGTGCTTGCTCTAGGACGGCCGATCTGCTTGTATTGAGTGGCGTATATTGTGAGTATCTCGGCCCGCGAGGAGGCTTCTCGCGAGGAATTAACTCTTTCAGACGACTTCGGAAATTAGTCTCGGCCAGCTTGTCAGGTTTTGCCGACACCTCCACTCGGGCTTGGTTCCGGAACTCAGCCAATTCTTCCATCTGCATCTATTTGTCGGCTCGCCGACGCAAGTCATCCATGTCACTAGGGGGTTTCTTACAAATGCTGTTGGCGAAAGGCCCTGGTTTCAAGGCGGTGGTAAGGTGGTGTAGAGCTACAACAGGGTTCAGGTCTCGGATTTCAAGTGTCGCCTTGTTGAATCAGCTCATGAACGCCTGAAGGGACTCCTTTTTCTCCTGACGGATGCTAACTAGTGCCAAAGAGGTCAACTGGTGGGGCTGGCTTGTAGCGAACTGAATGGTGAACTGGGAGGCTAACGTGTTGAACGAGTCAACCGAATTAGCAGGAAGCCGAGTAAACCAACTTAGTGCTCGCCCTTTTAATGATGTTGGGAAGATTCGGCACAAGGCGACGTCATCAGTAGTGCTTAGAGTAACTTGAGTTAAGAACACATCGACGTGCTCATCTGGGTCGGTGGTACCATTATACTTGTCTAGAGGCAAGGACTTCTAATGGTCAAGAAGTGCAGACTGCATGATGTTTGGGGTAAAGGGGTGTCGGTGTGCTCTGGCCGGCGTCGATTGTATCGGTCGACTGACCGAAGCATGGAAAGCTGGGGCAGCAACAGAAGTATGAGGGATAGAGGTGTGATGGCCGTGCGAGTGGAACGACCCCTGAGTGTGGGTTGTCTCAGAGGGTTTCCATGTGGGATCCCGGTACTGGTTCTTGAGGGTAGCATTCTCTGCTCGCAACGCAGCCATCTCGGCGGCATCTCTTTCCCGCTGCTGTTTCATGGCGGCCATTTCTTCCTTCATTTGGCGTACCATATCAGTCAAGTTTGTCTCCTCTACTGTCTCGGTATTGTCCGCCCTGGACCGATGCTAAAATTAGTGTTCCTTGTCTTTACCATGATTCTTTTACTCGTAAACTTTCGATGTTTCTGCAATGCTTTCGGTTCGGCCCCACGGTGGGTGCCAAAATGTACCTGCCTGAGGGTACACTCGTAGTCTTCTAGGTGGTAAAGGGCCGAACGGATACTTCTGGTGGACACTTCAGAGGGGGGGAGGTACCTGCAAAAGGCACTTCGACGCTCAAGTCAAGACAAGCATGATTTTCTAGGGTAAAGAATGAACAGTGACGTACCTCGTTACGTGCGACCTATTTATAATATATGACATGGGCCTGACCGTGGTGGGCCTTTTCTGACACTTACCAAATTAGGTAATACAATGCTAATCAGCTAATCATCTCTTAATCATGCGTCCATCCTTGTTAACTGTGATTTGTACTATAATCCGTTTAACCTTTCGGCCCATCGCCGAGCCGACAGGCTAAGGCTTGGGAAGTTGCACGTCCTCGGCTGTAGACCGGGCCGACAAATGCCTAATCGGTTCTTACTTGGTTGGCGCTTGGCCGAGCCGATACGTAGTATACGAAGATGTATCATGGTGTCGTTCGTATCGGCCTTAAGCCGAGCCGAGCAGACTCTTCTTGGCCTTCGGCTCTAGGCCGAGCCGATGCTAGCGTCAGGGTTTAAGGTATGGTTCAGTTCGCATGGGTGTCTGACGGAACGGCACGTGTTGGTTCACGTGACCGATAAGGTCCCTCCGGTACAGTTTGAAAGAGACATATTTATCTTTTCTTATTCTAAAAAGAGAGAGAAAATTATTATCTAATTAATTTTGAATATTTATTATTTTTTGTCTAAAATAATTATTTATTAAATAAAAATATTTTTGAGAAGATATAATCAATGCAATTAAAAGATATTTTATAAAAGGAGAAAAATAAAAGAGTAAAAAAATATTATATGTAAAAATAGAGATAGTATAAAAAGGTATAATTATACGTGTTGTGCAATCTTATTTGTACCGTGTTAACATCTCTTTTTACATAAAAGCGTCTTTCTAAATTCAATATGGTTACGGCCGGAAATATTAGTTAATGTAAATCAATTTTTTCACATAAATTTTTATATTTTTGGGATCAATTTTTCATATATTCTAATTGAGGAAAAAGTATCACTTTATCATTTATAAAATAAAATAAATTTCATTTAAAAAAATGAACGATAAGTGAGCAGGAATCAATTTAAATCTTGTGGTTATGCCGAAAATGAGAAATTGAAAAATGAAGCTTTGGTCATTATTCATGCCAGTGTTGACCCTCAGCTCTCTGCGTTACTCCATATGTTTGTACTTTGCCGCTAGCATGACCTCCTAATAAGGTTTTACTTTTAGGTGGATATTCGTTGCCTTTCAATGTGGATTAACTTTCTAAGGAGTCTTTTGGTTTTAAAGAAAAAAATATTATCATAAAAATATTTTTTCTTACTTTTATTATGCATAAATTTCCACCATTTTAAACTATAGCTACTACTATTATTATTAATATTGACAAGGTATTTTGTATTTATATATATTATATTTAAAAATAAAAGATAAAAGTAGTTGAATAATATGTTGTATGTTAGTGTGTAATTATTGTTATTCTACAACAATTTTAAGGATGAAAATGTTATCATGGAGAAACATGTGATTATATAGGTAAAATATTTGTGAAACTAAAAGATTTTTATAACCTTTATTAGTTATTATTGTGATTTTTATTAATATTTAAATGATTAAAATTGTAAAAAGAATAATGTATACATAGAATCACTTTTTTTTTGTCACAAGTACTCTTATAGATTATTAAATAGGGACTAATTTCGTTGATAATATTGTAATTGTTGTTAGTTCAACAAAATTTTACACATACTAAGATCAAACATGAATTTTTTGTTAAATAAATCGTCTCACAACATATGAGTGCATGATACTTAATTATTATGTGAACTCTTTATATTACTTGAAATTACTTTTATATACAAGTATATATTTTTAAGAAAAATAGATGCTGATATTATTTTTAAATAGAAAATGAGAATAAGTGTACAAAAAGTTTCCAATAACTAAGGTGTAAAAGGTAGTTTATGATAGTTAAGAAAGTAGTGAGATGGAAGTAATGGGGTAGTTTTTCATACTAGTTGAGGGAAAATATAGTCCTATAAAGTTCTCTTTGTACCACGTCAACAAGACTCTTATTCATGCATTGGAGCGCAAGGCATACTTGTAGAGACACCTAAGTCATTTCTACGGTGTATGAATTATACATACTTAGGTTGTCACGGGATGTTTATGAAAATATTATATTCCTTCTTTACATGTAATAGTTAACATGTTCCAATGTTTTATAAGCTGTTTAATAATATACAAGCATAACATTTTTTTAATTATTAATATTACATGTAAGTCTTCGCGGGTTTATTAACAACTTGATTTTTAATTTAATTAATTAATTTAAATATTAATTCCTTCTTGAATTCATAAAAGGATTAAAAAAATGTACACCACTTGTTTTTCAGTTGAAGTCCGATCACAAATTATATCAGATTTATTTTAAGAAAAATGCAATTATGACTTATTAACTTAATATAACTAAATCGAATGTATGTCAACTAAGTCCTTGCTCATTTATTAGTTAGTGTTTTAGGAAAAATATTATAACTCTCCATTCTTTTAAGTAAAAAATTTTCTTATAGCATTTTTTAATAATATATTCACCAACTTTTTGCAACTTTATATCAATTTAGCTCCAAACCTAACATTAGCATTATTTTCAAGTATTCTAAAACTTGAAAATTCCATCCTTTCATCTTCATGATTTTTTTTCTAGATGTGGTTTATAGGTTGTCAAACTCACCATTTTTATCACCAAAATCATTAATTAAAGTCAGATCTTGGTTCCCATTCCTAATTTTCATCAAATTCATCGCCATTATTCAATAAAGTGTAATCATATTAATGTTTTCATCAACATTTTGCAAAAATATTCTTCATGCTTGTCACTTTGGGATCTATATTCAACCTCCACCTCAACTTCACCTTTTGCCTTCACTTCACTTTTTACCCTCTATTCACTAGTTGAGCTACATTCTACATTATTAATGTAAAAACTTCAACTTCTTGGATGGAATAAGCTTCAAGGATGATTGTTGTTTCCTCTTAATTTTTTTTCTACTCTCTTGATCTTCATTCATGAGGTCCTTTGAAGAAGAAGAAACTTGGAAATAGTGGAAAAAATGAAGGAATGGTGACGCTACTTCGATGGTAAAGATAAGCTAGGAAGGTTTCTCACCACAAGGAAAAGATCTTTGATAAGAGATTCAAATGAAGTTGTACTCAAAGAGAGAAACTTTATAGCTCTTGAAGTTTGAGAGAAAATTCAATCTCATATGTTCATCAAAAGCGATATCCAAGAGGTAATTTACATGTATATATAGAGTTTGGTAGTTTATGATGCAAGTTAAACTAACTAAGATTAAATATAACTAAGGTTAGTTGTAACTAAGGTTAGCTTAACTTGTAATCAAACCAACTAACTCTAGTTATAATTTGATATTTGAATTTGATTTTTCCTCCAATAAGTGGTGCCTAGATCTAGATCTAGATTTGTAAGAGCAAATGAGAGTTTGACACATGATATGATGAAAAACATGTGGTAGGGGTGTGTTAGTAAGAAAAAGGGTGTAGAACACAAGCATACAAAAGGTGTGAGTAGTGTGTGAAACATGTGACTTGGTGAGTGATGTATGAGCCCATGAGAAAGTGTATAGATCATAAAATAGACGTCCAACTAGAGGGGAAAAGACTCTACATTTTCACTTGGCCCAAATAAGCCCAATAAACACATCTTTCAAATACTAGCTACACCCCCTAAAATGCTAAATACATTGCTAAAGGCAAAACAATTACCAAAAAAAAAAACAAATTCTTAATTTAATTGACCAAAAAATAAGAGGTCAAAAATAAAAGATAAAAAATAAAAGAGAATATTTATAAAGAAATATTAACAAAGAAGACTAAATGAACTATAAAGAGTTATCCAAAGCTCAACATAAGCGTCTTTTTTCCTTCAAGTCTAACTCATTCTTCTTGATTTTTGTTAGACTTGACTCATGGGACCTGAATCCATCATTCCACGTCTGCATTCCTTTTTT